TGTGCCCCCGCGCGGCCCGCGGCCAATCGCCGCCAGCAGTCGCTCTGGCCACGCCTCCCGCGGCCCCCGCCCCCCGTGCCGGGCCGCCGATTGGCGGAGGGGGCCGAGCCGCCCTCCGAGCGTCACGGCCCGGCCCCGCCCGGCCCAGCACCGCCCCGCGGCGGCCGCGAGAGCGGCACGTGGGGCTCGGGGGCGGGGTTTGTTTTCCGCTCCCGCTCGGCCGCGCCGCGAGGGCGGTCACGTGAGGCGCGCGCCATGGCGGCTCCGGCGGACGGTGAGGCGGGAGGGCCCGGCGGCGCCGCCGCCGCTGCCCTGCACCGCTCCCCGCCCGCCCGCCGCTCACCGCTCACCCCCTCTCTGTTGCAGGCGCCGACCTGGAGGCCTCGCTGCTGAGCTTCGAGAAGCTGGACCGCGCCTCCCCGGACCTGTGGCCCGAGCAGCGTAAGTGCGGCGGGCCCGCGGCCCCGGGTCTGACAGCTCCGGGTGGGGTGGGCAGAGGCAGACCGGGGCCGGGCCGCCTTGCGGCAGCTGCACGGGCCGGGCTGGGCCCGCCGGGGCCCGGCGGGGTGACGGTGCTGCCCGCACAGGCGCTCACCCCCCGCCAACCTCCGCTTTCTCTCCCCAGTGCCCGGCGTTGCCGAGTTCGCCGCCTCCTTCAAAAGCGTGAGTGAGCGCTGCTTTGCCTGTCGCGTTTCCTCCTTCCGTGTAATGGCAGATCTGCAGGTTCTCCTGCGGGCCTTACATCTTCTATGGACCCTATCTCAGTGATAAGTCCAGTATATGCTACAATGTACCTTTTGGTTTTAATGTATCTTTTATAGATGTGTTTCCTTTTTATACCTTATGTGTATACACTGTGTATGAGGATTAGACTTTGGAAGCAATAAAGGGTTTTAAACTTTAGAAAATCCTATTTTTCGTACTGATTTTTGGCTTGTGGGTGGTGGTATGCTGTTTTTAACTCTAAAATGCCCAGGAAAAAACAGGATTAAACGTAGAAGTATTTCTGTGGAGCACACTCTCATATTTTTGCTGTTGGTATAACTAGTTTTCAATACAGATTGTACTTCATTGTATAATTCTAAAAATGGACTTTTCTGAATATGAACTTCTATTTTTTTCAAAACAGCCCATTACAAGTTCTCCTCCCAAGTGGATGGCTGAATTAGAAAATGATGATATTGATATGTTGAAGGGTGAGTATGAATATTGTGGGCAGGAATTGATGTTGCCAAAGCAGATGGGAATTCAGTTCTTACTTAAGAGGCTTAAAACACTTGTTCTTTAAATGTCCTGGTGGTGGCCCTATGACCTGAGATCTCTAGCCATCACATTTGCAGAATCTCCAGCACAGAAGTCTCTTTATCTTGTTAATGATAGATATTTTCACTCAACCAGTTATTTCCAAGAGCCTGTCAAGATGTCAGTGGCAGGCTGATTTTTCAAAACAAGCAGTGTAACATTGTGCACGTTTCAGTCATCTCCCTTAGCCTTTTTTATCACTGTATAAATATAATGAGCATCTCCTGCATTTTGAGAAGTAGCATGCATTTTTTGGCAGGGCTTGGCTGATCAGTTGGTGAGTAGCTTAGACTTGTTGATTGACTTGTTCAGAGGTGCTCTACGTGTGCGCGTTCCCTCACAAATCCAGGAGCTCCAAAGCAATGGTGAGGCTGCATGGGCAAGTTACAGCAGGATAGGCTAGCATGTACACTTGCTGCATGTTGCAGCTGTTAGTTTGCAGTAAACACCCTTCAGCGTGCTCTGCCTGTCATGGATTCTGGATGGTGATGTGTGATTGTGTCACAGTGACATGTCGTGGCTGCAGAGTGAAAGTGAGATGATTTAACTCTGACTTGCTCCAAGAAATGTGCTTGAACTCATGTTATTAATGCAAAATAAGTCCATGCCCTTGCATACTTTCATATAGCTTGTTCATGTTGCAATGTGAACTTACAGGAACTTCCAAAGTATGGGTCAAATTACTCTTTGCAATGGTAGCAGATGAAAGCATGAACTGAAGTCGTGGCTTTTTCCTTATGTTAAAATCAGCAGTGGAGTCAGCTTGAATTTTGAGCATACACTGTTCACTGAAACAGATCCTGACAGAAGTATGGTTTGAAAGTGCCCTGTGAACTGCTACTGGAGGACTATAGACAGTGTTAAAATTCACCTTTTTCTCTCTTCTTAAGAGTTGGGGAGCCTTACTACAGCTAATCTGATGGAAAAAGTTCGTGGTCTGCAGAACCTGGCTTATCAACTGGGACTGGATGAATGTAAGTGCTGTACACAGATATGACTGACTGCATTCCAGATCTTTCCACTAAAGCATGTGCTTGTACATTGGTAGCTGGAAAAGTGTGTTGGCAGATTTGGCAGGTGTTTGACAGTGACCTCCTGCAGCAGGATGAGAGAATGTGTTTACATCTCCAACTTGCAACCTACCTGCAGGGGGGAAAACGTGTATGTCAGTCTGGTGTTACCCTGTGGCACGGAGACTTCTGTTCCTCAGTTAACATCGTCTTACATAAATCGGGTCACTTTGCTTAATTTCCCACTCAGATACTAAAGGTATTTCTCAGAATACTGTGGCAGTACTTCTTTCAAATTCCATGCACTGCCTCCACAGGGAAACTTGCACTTGTGTATAGGATTCTCCTGTCACTTTGCTGTTCATACTGTTTTTTGCTTCAGTAGCTCTTACTTTTTTTCTACACTCGGTTGTGGCAGGCAGTGATGTCCTTGAGGAATAAAGATGACTTTCATCCCAATTACAAACAGCCAGCTCTTACTGTGGTTTTTTGAAGAAAGAACTCCTTTCATTGTCTCATTTAGGACTGTTGTTAACAGGTTGATACAGTTTTGAGAATTTCAAGAGTATTGTGGAGTTGTTTTTAATGCTACCCATACGTACCGACACATGTATTTTTTTTTCCGTTTAGTTATGCTCTAACTAGACCCTGATTGTCATTACTCTTGGGCTACACAAAACACCAAAAGTTTCAAGTCTTTCACCTTCCTTTCAGTGGGTAACACAACTTAGTAATAAACCTTTAGAGTCTTTCTGATTGCAAACATAGGATAGCCTAATGCATTCTTAATAGCAAATTATTAAGCTTGCTTTAACATACTTCAAGTTTATTTTACTTTCAGTGCTAACATCTGTTAAGAATGTGTAAAGCATTTGGTGGAGTTGAAGTTAAAGTACAACTGTAAAAGTGAGTCAAATGCAAAGACTGGCTGATGATTGGCTTTCTCAGTTAAGTTGTAGGTTCTGATGTCAGGCAGTGTTGTTCTGCTAAATGGACTTTAGCAGAGCCTGAGTTGCAGTAAAGCTAGGGAGGTGTTTGTTTCCTTATTGCGTGTGTGATATTTGTTGCATGTGTTTCCATTTATTTTTACTGAGAACAAGTGCATGCATAAAGAAGACAAAGTGGGTAAAAACTGAAACATGAGGCTCAACAGTTAAAACTTAAGTCTTGAATTTTCAACCTTTGTAAAAGGTTTCCTTGCTTGTAACTTCTTGTCACTGAAGGCAGTTTTCCTTTACTGTAATCCGTTGAGTATTTTGTGTGTTGTAATATACATTTATCTTTGGAAAATTTTTACCAAAAATTAGTTGTGGAATTTGAACAGAAGCCGCTCAGGACTGTTTTTCCTAATACTGTCTCTAGGTTATTTTCTATTAGAAAATAACAGACTTAGATAAGTGAGAGAACAAGAAGAAATCCAAAAGATCTGTTCATTAAAGTTAAGGGACTTAACTTTAATGGTTTAGTGGTTTGGTCTCAGACGTATATAATTTAGTTATATCTCTGAATATAACTGAAATTTACTAGTCCCCTCTTGGCTTGGCTGGTTCATTGGAACTGGCTGTCACAAGCAGCACAAATCCCGCTCTGACCAGTCTCCTCTAGATGGCAGCATGAGGCCTCCCGCAGAAGTTTTGCTTCTTTTTTTATAAAACTCTGACACTTCCGTTATGGTTTGAAGCTGTTATTCCCAAGATTGTTTTGTGTGACATATTTTCTTTTCAGAATGTGCACTGTCTTTTTTTATGGTATTTTCAAGTGTTTCATCAGCAGTGAGGTTGAAAGACAATTCTGCTTCATTGTATTAGCAACTTACTTTTTCTTCCAACTCTCCTCTTCTAGATCCCACCTCAGATCCTTCATATTTTCAAAGACTTTTATTTTCATCCAGGTTATTAATTATGTACTGTGCAGGACCAGGGAGATTCCTGCAGCACTCCATGAAAAAAGTATCTCTTGAGTGGCATTGCAATCACATTGTGAGATCTGTTATTGTTATAGCCAGTTCACAACATACTTTACAGTGATTTTGCATTAGAATTCATTAGGCAAAGTGCTGTGGGACTGGGTACCTTTTGAAAAGTTTATTTATTGAGGTACTATTGCAACATTAGCATTGAAATCTGAATAATTGATTTGGCATTATGTAGTTTGATAAATTAATAATTCCTGAGTTACATGCCATGTTTCTTGAATTCATATGAACTGTCTTACTATTTTGCATGTGTAAGTGAACTTTCTTGACAAGTTTGGAACAGATGTATTGAATGTTTTGTCCATCTTGATGGGACATCTGCATGGCTTTCATCTAGGAACAGTTAAGTACCGTAATCTGAATCCCACATTTTTATTGTCTACAATCCCAGCTGTCCCAACTTTTTGCCATGGATTTCTCAGTTCCTCTTTGGTTCTGTGCTTTTCACAGGTTTCCTTTCTCTACAACTAACTTCCTCCCTTCTTTTTCCCATAGGGGCTTACCTTTACTGTCTGTACCCTGTCTAGTTTGTTGACGGCCCCATGGCTTCTGTGAATCAATTTAATTTATCAACATATAATCTTGTTTTTCTTTCCAGTTTGTTCTACCACTTTCTTCCTGGCATGCTGGTAGGTGGATTCTTGCTCAAAATATTCCTTGCAGAATATTCTTCCCTTCCTTAGCACAGGATTCATGTCAAAATATAGCTTTTCCTTGAATGAAGCAGGATTTTTGTAGCATGAACCATTTAAAAGAAAATTTTTACTTTCCTCTTTAAGGACAGGCTTGGGTCTCTTTTGTGTATTTATTCTTTGTTAAAAGGTGATTCTGGAGTTTTCCAGAAGCTTCCAGGCTCAGGTCCTTGTATCAAGAAAACCTTTTAAAAATAAATTATTTTTCAGCACTTCTGAGGTTTCAGCTTGTGTTTCTTTGTCTGCTTTTTAAGCTCTGTAAAATCCTACCTCATCATTTTGCTTGTAGCTATCTTTCTCTTTTTGCTTTGGTTCTCAGAATCAGAGAAACATTTAGGCTGGAAAAGACCTTCAGGATTATGAATTCCAACCTTCTCACATTAGAGCTTCTACTTCCCTTTGGTTAATTAATTATTTTATTGGTTAGAATAACCAAAACCATTTTTAGTATTTAAAGTTCTGCTTTGTGTCAGTTTTACTGTTCCCCTTCATGTGGGTATTTTAAGGGAGAAAGAATTGGGCTCAATTAATACACTGACTTTCAGTTGTTCGTACAGTTAGGGTGACTTTGGGAGGCATAGTAGCTCTTCTGAATATGAGCTGCAGCCACTCAGTGAGTCTCATTTCTGAGTTTGGGGAAGAAAAAAGATATAAAAGTCTTGTTATGAACTTTTTTCCTCCCCTCTGTGTCCCTTATTTTTTCCACCTGCATGCTCTGCTTGGAGTGGAGTAGTGAGCACTGCAGAATGAGCAGAACCCAGCTAATGTGGCAAGCAAGAGGGAAATAGTTCTTCCTTGAGAACACAGTCACAGACCCTGACTCAATATTTGTGGCCCACAAAGCAGCAAGTTTCAAAACACTTAATGTAAATAACTGCAAATTTGGGTTGGAAACTCTGTTTTTCCACTGTATGACCCATTGCACCTTTTGGAGTATCTGAATCAAAGCTGACTTCAGAAGAATTTTGAAGTTTTGGTTTCATGAACTGGCAACTCTGAGAAGTCCATGCATTTAAAGATATGTCCTGTTATCCTTTGGGATATATGCATACAGAGAGATGTATCTGAGAACTACATACACAGAGGAAAATGCTTTTCTTATTAAAAAAAAAAAAAAACTTAAAGTTTGTTGGTTTTTTTTAACTTCAGAAAAAAATGTACTTGTAAAAGATATGTAGGATGGGAGAATGGGAAAGGCACTCTGTCATTGAAGGAATGTGGTTGTCCAGGGACTTTTGAAGGCCCTGCTGTTGTTGCATGTGAATCTCTGATATTTTTCAGATAACACCTGCTGTGCTGGTTCAGAAGTCCTGAAATGTAGATATGGGTAGCTGGTATCACAGCCATGTTTGTAAAATCTCACTGCTGCCAGAATGGTTATTTAGCCACTATGGTGTCACAGTGCAGCTCCAGTGATACTGTCAGTGCAGGACTTCTGCAAAGCCTGTTCTTCTTAAACTCCAATATCTTTGTGAGGGTAATGGTGCCTAGGTGCTGTGTGTGCCTTAAATATTAGAAAATGTGGGATAACTGACCAAACACGTATGAATATCATTTATAATTTCCTTGTCAGTGACTTTTGCTAGTCTAATCTCTTGTGTTAGGTTAAATTTTTATTTGGAGTTGAAGGTAGTTTGTGATGTTCTTGCTGTAAAATTAGGAATGACTGTATTATCCAATGTCAAATCTTCATACTCTTGAAAGAGTAATGAGACAGTTCCCAAATATGCTCAACCAAGTCTCTTTATTTATAATTTCCCACGCACCCTGGCTTTCACTAGGTTCTAGCAACTTTGCTCCTATTTTCTTTGTAACCCTTATTTATTTTCCATATATGTTCAAGCAAATTAAAAAGAAGGGTGCAGTTGAAGAGCTGTTTAGTCAAGGACCCACACATTAGACCTGGATGACCTGTGAGATTGCAGGTGAACAGCAAAAGGTTGGTCATCTTGTAGCACCAAACTGACAGAGGAAAAGCCAGTCCAGCTTAGTCAGTCAGTGATCATTTTCTTTAATATGGAGAATAAGTAAATGGCTAGGGTTTTTTGGCCTGGAGAGAAACAGCTGATGTAGTATGTTGAAAAGATCTGTAAAATATTAATGCAGAGAAAGTGTGAATAGGGAATGATAGTATGGGAGCCAGAGAGAATAAAAGAGTGTGTTGGGACAGACATGAGGAGATACTTGTGTTGTGCATTGAAGTCAGAACACATCACCAGTGGAGCTTGTGGTTGTGGAGTTTCTCACTCAGTAATGAGAAAAATGATTGGAAGATAAATCCTTCCAGCATGTCTGAC